ACAGTCCTTTCGTCGAGAATCCCATAAAAGATAAAATCCACTTCTTTTATCTGCACTTCAAACAGCTATCTGTTACTGAGTGTTATTACACAGGCATATCCACTATCTTTAAATTCTTAAACCAACGGCTTATGCTTTTTCTGGTTAGTGGTTCAATACCGAATTGGTTCTTGCTGTACTTGTGCTCCACAGTAGCCATCGCACTCACAACTGACAGCGCATCTATAGATTAAAAAAAGGCGTTTGAAAGTTCATTTTTTTCGTTGATAGAATGTTCATTTTAAATTTGTACCAATTTTTAAAGTTGGATCCATCATTTAGAGTAACCCTTTCAAGTTTCATTCGAAAGGCTTCAGTAAGTTCTTTAAATTGGATACCTATGTAATTTATGGCATGTGTAATTTAAGCCTGATCTATTTCTTGGTGTAAATATTTTGCGACAGAAAAATAAACTATGGAAATTATTGGTAATAGTAGTGTTAGGTACATTGATCAGTCAATCTTAGATAACTTACTACCTATATTAAACTCACCTCAATAGTTTGTTTATGGAAATCTCCAACGCTTTCTATGTTGTTCTAGGTTTACCCAGAACCCTGAACATAAATTTTAGTATAATGTCAATTAAGTCTTTTAAGAGGCATTGGCAAAATTTCCAAAATAGTGCATTTATGGTGTCGAAATCATAATTATCTTAATTCCTTCTAATACAATTTTGAAATGAACCACCACAAATGTTGGAAAAGGTTCAGTTAACAACTTACTTAAAATTAATAATTGATCGGGTGGTTTTTATTTCGTTATAGGATGCCTCTGAAGTTTACGTGGAAACACAGAAAAGCGCCCTTTTTTACAAGGTGCAATTAAACGGGCACCAGAAAAATAAAATATTGAAATTATTGGAAATGGTAGTAGTTTTAAATTAATAATCCCAAAAAAGCCAACTCCAAAATTTGTTTATGGAAATCTCCAACGCTTTCTAGAGTATTCGTGTGAAATGCCATTCAAATCTGTTGAACTGTTATTTTTATTAAGGCTCAAATTTAGGGCTACATACTTTGAACGCCCGCGCCGACAGTAAATTAGTGCATTTGCACCCTTGATAATTACAGCACGAACTGTGATATCCTCATACGGCTTTCACTCAACGTATGACTATCCAGGGGAACATATTTGACGGCGATTTTTATTTGTTTCTCTTCACTAAAGTGATAAATCCCCACCACACACAACAAATGACATTCGAGTGTATAGGGTGGTTCAAATTCGGGGTAACGGTAAGAGATGCAGTGTAGCTTAACTGGGGGCAAGTTGTCTCTATTTGTGGCTAAAAAACCGCATTTGAGATTTTAGAAAAATCTTTGGAAATAGATGAGATATCACCGACTAGGGAATGCAATCCCGCAGCAAAATCTCAATCCCGGTATTTGCGGGATCGTTAGATGTTAATCCCGCGGGATCCCGGTATTTGCGGGATCCCGCAAAATTTTAAATAAATTGGCAAATAAGCAATTTTGTGGTTAACTTCTGTATTAAAATAAATCGCTAATTATCACAATGTTCAACAACAAAGTAGATACCTTTATCCTAACTTAGAACTCAAAAAAATCACCTGTAAAGCACAAAAAAGTGAACTTCTAAAGTAATAATTTGTCCGTTATGCGTTTCATTAACAAAGCAAACAGAGTTGCCCCCTTGGTCCACAAATTCCTCAGTCCCGCAAATCCCGCGGGATCCCGCTCCTATTATATGCGGGATTAATCCCGCAAAAATGCTGCGGGATCCCGGTATTTCGGGATCCCGCGATCTCGGTATTGCATTCCCTATCACCGACCAAGCCAAAATGTCAAATTTCGTTTTCACTTTTAATGATCATACCTATATTAATATAATGTATACTAATGACAAGGCGTCGACAAGTTTCTTTTTCAAGACTGTGACCGATGTAGCAAATATTTCGATCTTCGTGTTGAAGTTATTAAAGTATCAAGTGTTGTCAAGTATGGTGATCAAATTAAACAACAATAGTAAAAGATGCGATCGAACTACGGTAAAATACAATGATTTTAGTGCTATCACTATCACGTTGTTAAAGTCTTTACAGTGACGACGAATAAGGCATAGCATCTTGCTTGCTTTCGATATAATGTAGTCATAATGACGTTGGAAGTTCAATTTCGAATCCAGAATGATTTCACTGATTTTAGTATTACCAGTCGTTCACCACGCAGATGGTAATTTAGTACCAACGGCACATGTTTCTTGGAAAAGCAAATAACGTAACATTTGTTGATATTCAATTGCAGCTACCCATTTTTCCAATTGTACCAGATCATGTAGCATCATGAACGTTCTTAATTAGCCTCAAGATTTTTAGGTCATCAGCAAAAAGGAAGTGATCTGATGATAGAACTGACGATATATCATTTCTGAATGTTAAAAAAAGTGAAGGGCCAAGATGAGTTCCTTGAGGTACCGCAGAAGTTACATGAAATTGTTTCGATTTTGTTTTGATAACAATTTTGAAATTTACGCCCACAGAGAAAACTTTCTATACATTTCAGCGCGTTTTCACCGATGCCGTATTTGTTCAGCTTACATAGTAGTAAATCATGGTTTACCTTGTCTGACTTCAAAAACCAACCAACATTGCTTAGGTTACAATCGCCCAAGAGGACGAGTTGTGTATTTCGATTTTGCTTGAATAGTTTTTATATGAGCTTTTTATTTAGACACTTTAATCAGAACTGGGTGAACCCTGTGCATACGCCGTTTTAAAGATATGAACAAATGGTAATTATTAAGCTTAAACTTTTAAACAATCAATACGTTTTTACTGTACACAATTTTTGGAGGTATCTCAAAACTGTGGTTCATTTTGTTTATGTTTTTTGGGTGAAAATTTTCTCCACGGATTTATTCATCATTTTTGCACGAATCAATTTCAAGAGAATTTGTTTAGCGTGATTCGTGAAACCAACGAAAATAAAATTGCCGTCAATTATGATAAAAACCGTATGCTGCTATCATGCCCCGTTTCCCTTTTATTAAGGGCGTATTCTTTTAGATGCGCCTCCCTGTATAGGCAAGCGCTGTGTACAATTTCTATAGAATCTTTAGTTTTTTAAAATTTATTGTGAATAAGGTTAAGGGAAGAAAAGATGGCATTCTTTTTGAATTTCGTGCTGCATTAACCTAGATTTCTTCTTTTATGGAGATGTTAGAAATAAAGACAATATTAGTTATACCATTACCACTCCAGAGCCAGGCCACGGTTTAACTTTTGCGTGTGCATGAATATAATTTTAATAATAACTACAATTACTTATCTACACGAAAATATTCTAAATGTAGTGAATTATTAATTAGTGTTGTTTTATTATCTTTGCCTATGTATAAATTATATTCGTGATTTTTGTGTGTTTCTTTATAAATTCGAATCTGTTATCTTCTGATTTACTTGTTACATACAGGATGCATTAACAGGAGAGGGTTGTTTAAATGTTGGCCAAGTTGCGCATTTTAATGATAATATGTCAAAAACGAAATAAAACCAGGTGTCAAATTCTTGACAGAGCAGCTTTGTAGCTGAAATCAAAATCGCGTTTCACTTGCTTTTTATTTGTTTGTGCATATTACGACAGTCTTACCTCCTTTGTGCCTAATGTACATTTCCATAATATAATTCCAAAGAAATCACAAGAACCGTTTGCCCAAAAGGGATACTTCAGTTTTTTAATTTTGACATTTGCTCCGTTTTTTAAAAATAAAACCTAGCACAATTTTTTTAGGTTGTACACATAAAGATAGTGTCTTTCATTTCCGTATGCCTAATATTCAAAATTTGAATAAAATCTCGGAAAGTTTTCAACGTACGTATAGGTACTTACATATACATATAAACACAGTAACAAATTTTTCTCTAAAAGTTGTTTAAAATGATGTAAAACGTTGACGTATGATGAAATTTTGACACGTTCAAGAAACGGTGATTGCAATAGCTACCTAGGCTAGGAAGCTTGAAATTCCCCTTATTTCCGGATAATATAAAAAAAAACTAAAACACAATTTCGTTTTTATCTTTTACGGTTATATTATTGATTATTTGGAAAAACCTTATTTTTCCACATTTTAGATAGGTACCAACATCGAATGTATTTTTTAAAATACAAACCTGGATTTTTAAATTTTTTCAAATATCTTATATATTTTTATAAATTGCCTTTTTCAAATTATTCAGCATTAAAATATTCAACTTTTCGTCCATTGAACCTCTACCTCTATCTTTCTCCCAAGATAGTAATGCTAGCTAATGCATCGAATTTATAACACACTGTATATTAAATTGTTTTTTCTTATAACATCAAGGTATCCGAGGGATATTACTTTTGATCGTTACATTAGGTACATTAAACGAGAAGCACGCTGAGTGCAAGAATGCTTAAAATCTACTTTGCTTATAACGTGATGAATGAAATTAACAATGCTAACTGTAAGTCTCCGGCCTAGGTATCTTAGACTGAAAACCAAAACAAAATCAAAAAAATCTGCAAACGTACAGTGAGAGAAAATGATTGATTACCTTAATTCGGTGATTATTAACATATTTTTGTTAATCAGTGTTGCTACTAAGAAAGTTGTAGATTTGAATCGAATTTTGCGGTAAAGTTACCCTGCATACCTTTCTAGATGCACCAAACCATCGATAAAATCACTATAACACCATGTAAGGGAATTTACGATTCATTTTGCAAGAATTTGTCGCTGTCTCCATGTTGTAATCATTGGGGCATTAAAATATGTAGCGATCTAAATCAGTCGGCTGTTCAAAGAAATTCGTTTCATCCCTTTCAGTTTATTGTTTGCTATACGAACATACTTAGAAAAGGAAACGGTTTAAATACCTAAGGAATAAGGATTACCTAAAGAGCACGCTCTGATCAAAATGCTCCTTTTAGTATTTCAATTACTACAATGTCACCATAATAAAAAGGACTTACCATCCACCTGGCCTAGTTAGGGTAAATCCAAATCGCGATTCTCTGTCAACAGAAACTCGTATGCCTACAATTCCTAACCCTTGAGGCGTAATGACTTGTCCTCTCATGACAGCAACACGACTGTTAACACATTTCCGTTACCAATTTTTACAAATATCACAAAAACATTAAACAATTACATCCGTACACAATGAAAATATACAAATAGACATAGAAAACCGCATTTCAAACTTTCATTGTGAACGGAATGAAATATGTAATAAGCTTTTATATATAGTATGCTTTAATCTTAATTGATTTTTATTGGTTAGTGAAATCTGACCTATCAGATTGAAGCTGGAAATATTAAGTACGTGATCCAATAGCTCAGTAACGACATGCACTTCTCTGCATTGATCCAAAGCAGTAATATGTATTTAAGCTAATTTTGTTGCAAACATGTTGCAGTACCACGATCTCGATCAGAGACCTGTATTTTTTCAACATGTTTGCAGCAAACAACAAAATGTGCAAGCATTATGTATTCTACTTCTTCATGAACTTAATTCGATAGAAATCTTAACATCGAGATCGTTTATAAAAACATCAAGTTCGAGGTATTGTTACTTTCTAACTATTACGTGTTGCAATGAATTATTTCTATTAAATAATTCTTAAGGTCTTTGTGAATGCGTCTAGGCGCCACCGATGTATTAAAAGTAAGTTTTCTAAAAGGCCCGCGTTACATTAAGAAAAACCCCAAGTACTATCGTGCACGTAATCAAAGCCGAAATAATTCATTACACCTGACGCCATGGTGAAGTGTATTGTGTCGGTCAAAATGCAACGATGCAAAAGGGCCAGGTTAAAGGTAGATTGAGGACAGGTTGCACAAAGGTTAAGGGTCAGCTGAGAATGACACGTAGACAAAGGAAGGAACATCGGCCGAGCCGTCATTATATCCATTGTTACTTGTTTTTTGTAGAACGTGTACAATGTTGTTTCTTTGATGTAGCAACTCGAATTTGTAGTATTTCTTTTTGTCTCAGACTAAAACAGATGGATAATTTACATGTCCTAAAAACTGCAATAGTTCCAAATTATTGGCCATGGCCGTTCGAGGCTTTCGTTTCTAGCGGAACTAATTGAACTCGAAACTAATTTAACTAATTTAGATTGTGAAAGTTTGGTAGCCACTGCAGCTTGTAAAACATTTAATGTGATTAAGAGTTGTAATGAGACGCTAGGAAACTATGAACCATGAGATGATACGTACGGACACATGAAATAGCGACAGAAATAGCAGATACATTCGCCGCAACCAAAAGTCAAATATGGCCAGCTACAAGTACTAATATTATTTGAATGAAAGCGCAAGTTTTTATTTGACGTAGGTACTTGTAAGTGGCCCGGGATGAATACAAAGCATGGTAAAAGAAAAAGGACGTAAATGGTGGACGAACATAAAGAACGGACGAACATAAGGGAGCGCAGGCTACAGGCAGCACACGGACATACGAACAGACAGACAAGAACATGGGGAGATGCTGCCACTTACCGCGGTGTAAAGGAATTCCAGAACTCGCTACAAGTGAAGGTTGCAGCAGCGACATAGGGGACACAGAAGACAGGACAATTACTAATCACACGGCAATACTTTACATGCACACACCATTATGTCATTTGACTGTGATACGTTTAAAAATATTGGTGTGTGTATGCGAATGTACTACGTAAGCGAGGTGCCTTGGCAACGTTAACGGTAAAGTTTAAGGTTGCGGGGGCACACAGGTAATGATACATTTGTAGTGACAGACAATCAAATAGACAAACTCTCTATCTTCCACGCGCTCGCTCAGTTGAGCTACAATCAATAATAATAACAAAACACAATATGACGAAACACAAAACTTAACAAACATTGTACTTTTAGCTACAGACAATGACAGACACAAGTTAGCAAGATCTACTAGCAACAAACAGACATAAAGACGGACGGACCGAACGAGCGCAGCATGAGTCTTCTATAAAGCAGGTATGAAGTGAAACAACATCGGCTGCTCAACTTGTGTCCACCACCATCATGATACATACCTATCAGTCTACTAAATGAGTAAATAAAACAGTTACTAAAAAGATTCTCGGCGATGTTTGTTACGCTACATAATGGACTTTTTACGAGTCCGACTTCTGAGCGACTCGGGCTTCTGAGACGGGTAGACGCACACAGAGGTTTTAGACAAGACACAGTGATTTCCCATTGGCGCTGCGACTCCCGATGCCCATCGATATAATAGTGGTAGTTAAAATTGCACGCACGCGTTACTTGAGGGAATTCCACCCTTGTTTAAAACAAATACTACTCGCATGAGGGAGCACAGCGCCCGGGGGGAGGAAAGGCCGGGTGGGACGGGGCCCGCAGGGGTGTGCGGTGCCCGAGCAAAGCAGCCGGGCCGGCCCTAGCGGTCTCCGCTTATAATAACGTGCAGAGCTTGATCCGGTGAGGCCGCGCTGTCTGCGTGTCTACGGCCCTCGTGGGGCTGTACTTAAGCTCTACACTCGATAGACAAAAAAACTAAAACTATCGCACTTACCTCTCGGTGTATTCGTCCATATGCGCGTAGGATTGAACCGAATTTTCCTCTATTAAAAATTTCACCCTTTGATAAAAAGAGGCGGTTACTGAAGGAGGTTGCTTCCGTAAGAGCACTTCTACCGGATCGTTACTAGATAAACACATTATGTGGTCCGTGCAACTTGCATGTGTGCAACACTCGCTGTCGGAGCAATCGATCATACCATCTAAAATACGTTGAAGTCAATTTTGTTACATTATAGGGGCGCACTAAATTAAAATAGATATACCTGACATATTAATCCCTCAACTGTTTGAATTAAAAAGAACCTAATTATTTCAGTGCGAAAGCATATTTGCGTATGTTCCCATTATGAGGGTTGAAAAGTTCATGCCAAGTGTGTCATTCTTTCTGATGATGGATTTCAATTAATTTTTACATTTTCGTCTCATTCTACGAGCTCTAAATTTGTTCACAACTTTTTATTAATAATAACAATTTTGTTTCTCAAATTGCAACTTCGAGTCGAGTCCTTCGGCTTTACTCTATCCGAAGATCAACCTAAATTTGTTTTGGTGCTTCTCCAAACCGAAATTGGTAACAAATACAGATTTTTAATATTATACGTATTCAGAGGGTCGAAACTGTGATTACTGAGTTTGCTGCCATGATTAATTCAAGAAGGTTAGGTATCTGAAATCACCAAGTAATTTCAAGTTGTTTGTTACAAAACTCGAGACTGAAATTTACTACCTTTTGAGGTTACAAAGCAAACCGTTTCAGAAATCGCAAGTTCTTTACAAAGTATTTCAAGTGCTGTAGAAATGCCTTTCTAAAGTATTAGAAGATCTGTTAGAGCCTTTTCTAGATCTGGTTTTTTACCAGGCCCTAAAATATCCTCGAAAGGCGCTAGGAAAGGTTTAGTGTAAAAGATCTTTTCCAAAATCCCTTAAGGAAATCATGGCCAGAAGATTAATCTAAGGCATTCCAAGGCCTAAAGCTTTCTAGGATGTTTCCATAGCTTTTTATTGTCTTCTTTTAGCACCTCAAAACCAGAACAAACATGAGCTTTACAAGCCAAACCTTTTATATCACCTTACTGCTGCTCCACAAAGGGTGCGTAAAAGTCATAGTAGTCCAAAGGTGCTAAAAAGTGCTTAAAGAGAGTCTTGAATGCTTACGAAAGTCGTTGGAACGCTATGAATGGAAATAAAAACTCAAGAGTCGTAGGTCTCTAGCACTTTACCAGAACTACTTAAGCTCTTTCCAGAGATTTTCAAGCATTTCATAGAACCGCATGCACGTGTAGCTCTGAGCAGGTTCGAGAAGCGCTGAAGTGACTCTCGAAAGCTTTCCAATGCTAAAAAACCGCTTATTTATTTTTATTTAGGTTTTATAGACAATTCTGAAAAGGTTCTATGGAACGTGTCTCGAAAGGACTTACGCAGTTCAGGCAAAAGTTTCAAAATTTCTAATAAGAATTTACAAAATACTAAAATGCTCGGGGAAGATCAATACTCTGTAGAGTAGAGACAGTTTTTAGAATTTCTGGGTTTTAGCACTCGAAGGGTTTTGCAGAGTCGTCCATCCTTTCTCAGTACTTTCCCGGTTTTTCTTTGTAGAGATTTCGAAGTCCTGCGTTTAGGGTCGCCTATCAATGAAAAGATGAAAGTCCTTATGTAATATCTATGCTTTTCAGTGGCAATGGTCTAGAAAGCTTTGGAAAACTTCCTATGGCCTATGGCTATTGCCTATTAAAAAGCTCTGAAAAATGCTTTAGAAGACCATAATGTCTAGACGATATCTGAGAAGTTGAGGGGATAAACGGGGATTTGAATCCTGGATTCAAACTCAACGCGGCGGGTACTCCTACACAAAAGAATTCGTAATTAGAATTAATGATTTAATTTAAGAAGGATTCGAAACGAATCTTTCTAGGCTATATTAGTCTGAATTTCTGTGAACGAAGGACTTTGAGGATAGGAGGCTTTCGACATTCTTTCCAGAATGTTTTGCATAGAACTGTACAGCTTTTCTAGTGCAATAGAAGGAGAACTAGAAGTCTTTCCATCACGACCGCTATCATTTAAACAGAACTCGCAACGAACCTGTTTAGGATCGTTTGAAAAGGATATTAGAATGCTTTTTAAAGCTCTATTAAGAACATGAAAAACAGACTGGAGAACGCTAGAAGGCTTTGGAAGTCTTGTAAGTATTCTCCGTAGCAATGGAAAGTTTTTAAGTATGATTTTCACAGTACACAAATCTTCGTATCTTCGTATTCAATTTGAAAACTTACCATCCCCCATGTCTTAGTAAACAAACGAGATATTTAAAAAAATCAAAATCCGTTTCGGTAATTCGGAGGGGGAATCACAATCACATAGTTGGCGACGCACCCCCTCCAACCCCCTGCGCCCAGCCACCACAACTTTTAAATCTTAAATAGCGACCCCCCATGTGTGATACGTCGTTGGAAAGCTCTGAAAAAATGATTTCCAACTTTCGAATGGAACGATATCATTATTATATGATATTATCAAATAAGATGCAAAGGTGAAGATATCAGTGAAAATCGCATTTTGATATCTGTCTCATGAACAGAGATATGACGAGAATACGCACATTCACAAATTTAAATTGTAGTATTCGTCCAAGTTGGCTTTGAAACAAAAGAAACACACGGCAAAAAAAGTACTCGGCAGAGATACGTCTTTGTATGGAAAATAGTGCCAGACACATTGAATATTTCAAATCTAATTTTTAGTTTTTTGAACTTTTATTATTTAATTTATATTTTAATAATTTACTTGTTGTCCATAATTTAAAAACTTGTATCGAGTGTTAATTTTAATTATCTATTTTAATTATCTCTTGTTACGTGTTCTTATGTTTCAAAGCCAACTTGGATGAATATAAATATTGCAATTTAAATTCATGAATGTTCGTATTTTCACTATATCTCTGCTTAAAAAACGGCTTCTACCACTCATCACATTTACTAAAAAGACAATTCATGTAAAATATGATTACACAAAGAGAGGTCTTTCCAATAAGACCAATTATGTAAAAATTGGTTAACCTAAACCGAAGTTGCATTCAATTCCTCCCCCACCTTTCACTTTTTATGAGGGAGAGCAGTATGTACTGCATCAAAATGATGAAAAATTCATACAAGATTGCGATGCATGTATTTTTTATGCATGTTTGTTGGGTATATTTTGGGAAAAAATTATTTTTCTGTTTGATCAAGAATTTCTCCCCCTCTAGCGGCAAACCTAAAACTTGAAAATGCATTATTTGCAAATTTAAATATAAATAAGTTATGAAGCATGACAACAGAAATAATCCCAATTTCTAAAATATCTTATTCTAAACCAGAAAAATTACAAAAGTCCTCGTATGTGCATCGATGAGACTTCAGCGCATTTTTGGCGTGACGGATCAGTATTGCATTAGCAATCAGTATTTTATCAGAAAATTTTAATTATAAAATAAGGTATATGCAAACATATATTTCTTTATTAATTTTCACGAACTCTAATAATAATTGGACGATGGTATGAACAGTACGACTCGTAAACCGAACAATCAACAGTGTAGTTGACCATTTTGCCAAAAACTCCGTCAATTATTGTTCCGCCATTCGTTGTCACTGTTCGGGGAGAGATGATCACTATATTGAATTTCTCTTGAAGAAATTTCTCTACCCGATTTCCGACAGTTAATGGGAAATTAAAGTCTCCCATAATCAAGACGTCTTCAGTTGCCTCAATGAAATCCCCGATCTCCGATAACGCTGCAATCAACAAGTTGTTGCCTTTACTAGGAGCATCAGTGGTTCAAATTTCAAAGAAATATCTCCATAAATAAGAAAGTTGGCATTGCGCAGTCACTGCGCATGCCTACACATAATTTTTACTATTTGCGAAATGTTTGCCTTTACTAGAAGCATCTGTGGTTCAAATTTCAAAGAAATATCTCCATAAATAGGAAAGTTGGCATTGCGCAGGGACTGCGCATGCGCACACATAATTTTTAGTATGTGCGCAATATTTGCCTTTACTAGAACCATGTGTGGTTAAAATTTCAAAGAAAAATCTCAGTAAATAGGAAAGTTCGCATTGCGCAGTCACTGCGCATGTCTACACTTAATTTTTACTATTTGCGAAATGTTTGCCTTTACTAGAAGCATCTGTGGTTAAAATTTCAAAGAAAAATCTCAGTAAATAGGAAAGTTCGCATTGCGCAGTCACTGCGCATGTCTACATAATTTCTACTATGTGTGAAATGTTTGCCTTTACTAGAAGCATCTGTGGTTAAAATTTCAAAGAAATATCTCCATAAATAAGAAAGTTGGCAATGCGCAGTCTGAAATGGGCAAATATAGACCATAGCAGCTATCAATTAGCGAAAACCCGAAGTCTCTAGGTGTCCCAGGGGCCGAGATCTCGATGGAACGGACGGACGGACGGACAGACGGAAACACGAGCACATAAGCGTTACCTCAACTTCGTTGTGGTACGCTAAAAACCGCTCAGACCTGGATACGATATTTTTAACCAAAATTATACCACAAACTGTAAAACTCATCACCGTGTTATGATTTTGATTAGTTTTCACCTTGAAGCAGTTATCCTAGATAAGTCATATTAGTGACCGTAGTTAGGCAATGCCAAAAGTATATTTTATAAAAAAGCCATTCCTCTACGTCAATCGGATCGGCTTAAAATCGACATACGCACGGACAAGTTTTCAAGCGGCGTTAGTTATTTCGCAAATTCTAATTAAACGCAACCACTACGGGCTTAATGAATGTCCATTGCGCCAATAACTCGACAAGATAGAGATAATGCAAAAAACCGGACCTCTCTACGATGTCTAGATCAAAAGTTTTTCAATCCGCCCAGCCAGCCAGCCAGCCGGACAAAGTGAAATGATAAGCTCCTTTTTGTTACCAAAAATGCGCTAAAAAATAGTGGAAACCGTCAGAAGCAGAACCAGATTATTAATTTGGATACGGAAACTGAAATAGAACATCGCTACTGATAACCTGGAAGTCAGCTGTCCGCATTTGCACGATAGTAGCTTTTTGTAAAAATGTAACATTTAGTTCTTTTTTCCACAGTTTTTAAACCTGCATTCAACTATAAACTGAGCTTTAGGAGTGTACTTAATTTATTATATATTTTAGAGCCTAGAAGTGTCCTTGTCCTCTCGGGTTCAACGAGACTCCGGTCTCCGACTTTCTATTTGGTAAACGGGGGAGGCGAATTTTTGTAATTCGATTGGATTCGACTCGATCGATTCTAGGCTTCAGTTTAGAGGAAAATGCTTTAAACTAGAATGTGATATACATTGAAAGTAAAATCCGTAAATATTTTGGACGGAATTTACTCGCTATGGCTGTATTGTTTTGAAAACAGAGTTTGCTTTTCAGTTCGCAAAATTGTTACCTTTAAAAAGCAGAATTGGTTTTGTTAATTCCAAATTGGAAGTTTGGTTGAATCGAATGTTTATAAATGTTGTTGTAACATCGAGACCTAATTTAACATTAACAGTACGAAGTGGCTTGAATTTGGCAGTTACCGTACACATCCTAGACCCCTCCAGGGAAACATGACTAGGAGGAGTGTGTAAACTTGGTCATTTCTTCTACAGGTGCAATGAAGTGGAGATGGCAAACGCAGTGATAGATAAATTGTAACTACACTGCAGGGAGTTACGAAAGCGCCTCGCAAATTTAGAACACTTACCATAAGATGGGGGAAGGCAGTTTTAACCCAAAATTATCTTCAAACAGTTAATTGATTTGCAGCATTTGCATAATAGCCCTAATTTAATTTGCATTCTTATGTTAATTAGTAATATTACTTCTCTTTAGAGCTCAAAATATTCGAGATAAGGTTTATGGATTATAAAGCAATTAAAATTTCCCTAAGTTGCTATTACACTAATTAAGAAGATTATAAAACGAAGGAAGTTTCTTTTCTTACCGTGGTCGTTATCGGTGTCATCATTGCAAGTCATTTCTAATGGAATACTACAGTCGGATCCTGCCCAGCCGTCGATGCAAACGCAAAGATAAGATCCTTCCTCCATTGTACACTGTCCATGTCGGGAACATCCATTTTCGCAGCCCGCTATTGAAGAAACCATTTAAAAGTCAAATTTTTCGTTTAAATTTAAAATAGATTTGTAGTTTACTTCTAAACCGATTTGTAACTTTGGGAAAGAAGCGCGCTAAATTAAATGAAAACTTTCCTTCCTTATAAGGCATGGATGTTGAATTACAAAAGTTCGAGTTGGAAAGTTACTCACGTAGTGTGCAGTGACGGCCATTCCATCCCTGCGAACAGACACACGTGCCGTTTCGGCATTGTCCATGCTCTTGGCAGCGAGTATCACAAGGAAGCTGATCGCAGCGGGCTCCCGTCCAGCCAATGTCGCAACGACATTTTCCGGCGTCGCAAATACCGTGGAGACCACAATCCAAACTGCAGAGAGCTGTAAGCACAAAAAAGTTGACAAATTGCACGTTTATCGAGTGGAAACATCGTCGTTAACGTTATTAGAGGGCATTGGCATTGACGCAAATTGTAACTCGGTTATTGATTTTATGGTTAGGTAAACGTTCAGTTAGCGCAAATTACATTATTGATTGGTATACCTTGAGAACAATCAGGTCCTGTCCAGTGCCTGTTACAAATACATTTTGCGGTTTCCAAGTCGTAAACACCATGATCGGAACAACTAGGAAGACATTTGTGCACTTGTTCGTCTATTAAGTTACATTTATCCCCTTTCCATCCAGCTTTACAGTAGCATTGTCCGTGAACGCAGGCACCGTGATTGGAACATGTCGGATCTTGACAGTCACGTTCGTCGCACGCCTCGCCCTTCCAACCGGACTTACACTGACATGTACCTCTAATACACTGTCCATGTCCCGAGCAATCAGCAATTCTACAGTCAGATTCGGGTATATCACATTCCGGCCCTTTCCAACCTTCTTCGCAGTGACACAGTCCGCCACCGTACTGACCGTGTGCCGAACAAAGTACAGGGCACACACCTGCAGTTTGGTAAATTTGCATACTAAAACCCTAGTTATCGTAGGTACTCACTTTTCGAACAGTCGATCCCCTGAAAGCCGTCTATGCAATCGCACTTTCCCAGGTAGCAGGATCCTCGCCCAGAACAGTCGTTAGGACAAGTTGTGCTGACGCCCTCGGCCTCGGAAATGATAAGGGATACGCTGTGCGGCTGTAGTTCATCGTTATAAACAGAGAGAAACCAGCGGCCCGTGTCCAAGTATTGTAGAAGGCTTACGTTTACTAGCATCGATTCAAGCTCAGTTTCTCGTTTAGAAATAACATGCTCATCAAGCTCAAGACCTAAATCGACGGTGGGATGTGGAAGGTCCGTAGATAACTCCTTGGCGTAATCAATTTTTATAGTATGAGGCACGTAGAAAGGCCCCTTAGGCTCTGAATCAGCCAGAATTTTTCTAGTGCCTTCGTACGTATTAGAAATGCTATCGAGGACGTCAGTTTTATGATATTTCGGTGTAAATTTTAAATCGTGCTTGAGATAACGCTCAACGACAGCCTCACGGGTGTCTCTCTTCCGAAGTCTATGATCAACCCTGCCGCCCTTAACAAACTCGACGAAATCATATTGAGTTACGCTAGGTGCAACGTTCCTTCGCCCATAAACGGCGAAATTAGCCCCCCAAGGTAAAGTAAAATTAAATCGGATAAACGCCGGCTGCTTATTCCTGAATTCGGAGTTCCAAAATTGATAAGGTGGAATTGTAGCCGTGTGAAATGTGTTCAGCTCTCTTACTTCGAGTAAAGGTGGCCACTGAGGTTGGGGTTGACTCTGTTGTTGCGCTTGTTGTAAGGAAATATGCTGTGTTGTTACGCTCGAATGCTCCGACGTACTCGTGGGTAACGATTCTAAAATTTAATGTGTATAATTTACATCGCGCTTCGCACGAATAAGAAATACCTTCCGTCGGCAGTTGCGTCGAAACAGAATTTTGTGTCATTTGGTCGTGTGTCACATCTTTCACGTCTTGAACTAATATGCAATTTGATGGATCCATATTTGGTTTCATGGAACTAACGGCTGTAACAAAAGCCATCTCATTAAGGGAAATTGTCAATGGCCGGACAGTGTTTAATTAGGGGGTAAGCGAGTGCGCGCGTCCCCTGCAAACATGTTAATTATCGAGCTTTTGAGAATATCGAACTTTAACTTCATCAGCGAAAGGAAAACAGAAAAGTATTATAGGCGAAGGGCGGGCTGTTCGACCCTAGCGATTTATTGTGGCTCCACGACATGCCATTCTAATAAGGAAATGCCCCGGCCGCTAAATGTTCCGTATCGACTGGGGGAATTACGAAAACTTGCATGCTTATACACCCCATTAATTATAAAAATGTCTTACCTGCAAAATAGGCTAACATGGCAGTAAGGACAACGGCGATTAAAATAAGAACAATACTGAAGCATTTCCACGTACATCGATTCTGACATCTTTTATCTATATGAAACCTGGACGGGGAGTACGGTGAATAGTGAGGTGGATGCGACGTGGGTGCCGGCCGTAGTGGAAATACGGGCATCACCAGCGGAGACTGCTGCTGACAATGTGATCCTCCCTGTAACGAGTTGCCACTGGCCGGAATCTGTTGGGATAACTGGGTTTGCTGAAGCCCAGCGGCAAGTCTGTAACAAACGGAAAAGGAATTTGATTTTTCGGAACCGTTTCTGTTTATGTTTATTTTCAGTTTTACCTCAACCCTCCGGCGTCAAAATGAATTACAAATTACAAAGAATTGAGTAGGATGGTTTGCGTTTTCAGTTTATAATCTAAATTGTACATTTTTATATTTGGTGACGTTAAAGTTTTACATATTTCGTGCTGAAGCTAAATAAAAATAAAATAGAATTTTGAGCGGTGAATAAACTTGAAAACCATAACTAGGGCGTAAAAATAATTAAAACATGTTGCTTATACCTTTATCACTGTTAATGACTTCACCTTTGAAAAATATTTTTTTGGGTTCACGACGCTGAATTAACAACGTTCGCTCTGCTGTTAAATTTTTATACAGTCGAACCCAAACACACGATTGAAGTTGACATACAATCACTAATTTGTAAGAACTTTGTTCCATTACCCATTTAAAGGTCGTCAATAAGTACCTTCTGCTGAGCAAAATGCCCGTAATTCGTAATCATTGACAAATTGGTGCATCTCAAAGTTGTTCCTGGGCTAATTATAATTTTTGGTAGTTTCATGTGAATAGCAGACAGAGATGGATTTAACTAAAATTTAACCGACACCGTACGTCCGTTGCTGGCTGACTGGCTGGCAGCAAATGCGGACCCGTAGAAGAACACTTACTGAAAGACGAGGAGTGTACATGTACCTTACCGGGGCCGTGTAATTAACAAGTTTAGGGACGGGGCTATATGATCTGAGGTGACATCTGGGCGCCATCCACAAGCGTGTTATACTAACGTGGCGATTTTTAAGTTTTTTTAGATCTTCTACAATTTTGGTCCGATTGTTTTGAAATTGGTGTCGTCGGAAAGATCTTGTAAACGCGCACAACTCCTGCATAGAATGTTGTATTTTTTTTTACTAGGGGCGAAATTAACCACCTTTTGCAAGGCGACTTCGGGCGCCCAAAAGGTATCCTCCGCTGCGAATTTTGTCACGCGGTTTAAAGTTTTTTAAAGTTCGAATCACAGTATTTCTTTCTCATATCGCCAATAGAAGCTCGAGTTATGATAAGTGAAAATTGAATAGATACTATTTCGTGGAGGGTTTTTAGCGAAATTTACCAAAATGCAAATTGTGGGTGAACGACGTCGGAAACGGGTACCGACGAAGGGAATCTGGTTGCCCCCGACAAGATGGTACTGATGGTGGAGATAAACTTCAAACGCGAATTGAGGGTGAATGGGGGGTCGGAAACGAGTACCGACAAAGGGTAAGTGGTTACCCCTGTCACTTATTTGATTTTTGCCGGAATTCTATTTTACCTCCAGATTTTTATCAGAATTCTGTTTTAAAAAAATAAAATATTAGAAACTGACGCTACCTCGCGGTCAATCTTATAATAATATATTTTATTCAAGTACAAGATTTCTAGACAAAAGCTCAGTTGCCACTCAAAATTGGCAGTGTTTTGCGCTAATTTGTGTGGTTCGAGAAAATGTTGGGGGCCCGACTAAATGTTAGGACACCAACTTGTTCTTAGAGAAATGGGGGATACTCGCCCTTGTTTTGCAGTGATATGGGCACTCATTTTGTGTGTCTTGATTTCTGGAGAAATTTGAAGTAACCGTAACCGTAACAGTAACCTCCATACGCTCAATGGTATGAAACCCTAGACTAGACCATAGATTAAATTATGCCTATTTTGTATTTATTTTTGCAATCACCAATGTTTGTATTTGATTCTGAGACGATAAAATTTGTGGCTGCCCCTTTTGTCTTGAAGCAATTTAAAAACCAACTTCTGGTTTTGTTTCCTTTTTATCCCTAAATTTATCGATTTATTCAGTTCGAAAAAATGGTGTCCCAATTAAGTTCTAAAATTTGGAATGTGTAATTTTGTATCCTCCTAGTCATCTTGAAATGAATACGTTTGTGCCAGCTGGAGGGATTATACTACTTTAGAGTTTCTGATTTGAAACAAGAACAATTAGGTTACATCTAGGTAATTGCTTCATCTAGCTTAGAAACCCATTTTGGAAAGGATAGAATCATTCAACTAAGTCTAAGCTTTCAAATATGATGTAAAATGATGTAAACCTGCAAAATCTGCAAAAGTACACTATAGAATAGAAAAAGATACCAAACAGTACCAAAGTAGGCCAGAAAATTCCAAAGCATACTACGGAAGATACCAGAGAAATCTTTCAGGTTGTGTAAAGTTCTCATTACAAGTTGGCTTACTGGATCCTAAACGGAGGCACTAGAGCAAATCTGATATCCACGAGAAACAAAATTTTCTAAAAAAAGAAAACATCATTATGAAGCTGCAAGAAAAAGATACTTTGAACTATAATGGGTGTATAATATTTCCCTTAGTTTCATAATTTTCAAGACGCATAATTAAAAAATCGAGATAAATGCAAGGAAACTATTATTAAATAAGACCTTTGAAACTTCATAATTTCAAATTAATAAAAATTTTCCACTAGTTGTAGTACGGCAAAATTAAGTTTCTTTTAAAAGTCAGTAAAATAACTAACATCACGCAATTGTTCTTTTATTAAGAAAAACGTAGACAAGGATTCGTTCAGGTGTAATTAATTTTAAATGTAAAAAGCACATTTTATACTAAAATAACTCAATGTATTCCTAGAACCCTGCTCTATTAAAACGATATTACATTACATTTTGTTGCAAAAAGAAATGAACCTGTTTCTTTCTGGATTTCTTTTGATGCAAATTAGCGATGGCTCTCGACTTAGTTGGATATTATTAAGAATAGGTACCTACCTATAGTTTCAAAGAATGGAGAAGTGAGCTGACAGTAGTTTTTGTGCAACTCGTCCACCCTGATACACGTGGATAGATTCTTTATTAGTGACACCGTTGGGTCACGCCTCTCTGTCTCTGGCATACACTTGAACCTTTTCGGTTGAAACTTTGCACAGTTGGCCTATATGCCACATGTAACAAGCCTGTTGAAAATGGGCCAAATCCAATGACCCGTGGGGTCACGGCTCTCTGTCCCTGGCAAACGTTTGAACCGATTCAGTTCAAAATTTGCACAGTTGACCTATATGCCACATGTAACAAGCCTGTTGAAAATGGGCAAAATCCAATGACTCCGTAGGGTCAAACCGAGATGCTCTGCGGCTATTTTTACATCCGCTTTATGGGTTTATTTTTCTTTTTCTAGTAAATAGTTGTCACTATCAGGACAACACCAGCCAATTCCAAAGCTACACCTGTAGAGTAGGTTTTATTTTCTTGGTACAAGAAGGGTTTTTTTTCATTTGTTATAGATAAAAGCCATTTTGCCTGTGTTTTCATTGTCTTAAGTGCACTCATGGTTCCCAATATTCAGCTCTGAAGGAAATATAGAGGAGCAGGGTATCGCCTATGAAAATACCTCGATAAATACAAAATTGCAAAAGCAACGTAGGTAAACGGTGAATGAAAAGTAGAAAACATGCTTCTCCCCTGTATTAAAAGAGAACCCATATCCATCAAATAAAACAAACTTTCTAAGACTCCACAGTGGGATCTCGTCTTCCATACGAACGAACGGATTGATAAAAAGTGTGCTTCTAGTACTTGACTCAGGAGCACTTTGTAGTGGGTGTAGTTTTGCAGTTACCTGTAAGTTTTACCCAGGGAAAGTACGGGTATAAATCACGTCACGGTTATCTTTACTCTACGGAAATGGCATACGTCGATTCAATAAAAATTTATACGAATTCTGCAGGTATTTATTAAATTTGCTTTAGAATCCTGAAATTTTCGCCCAACGAATTGTTAATTTTGCATTCTTCCTTACATATCGAGAGATTAAAATCAAACAATTCCGGCATTAACCGCAAAAATTTTGGATACAACATTAGGAGTATATTTTCAAAAAGAAGCTCTCGATATTTCAATAACGTGCATTCTGGAAGGATCATCACCAACTTCTTGCATGTATTTATATTGGCGTGTAAACTTTCTAAAATGGAAGCAGTTCATATGATACCGTCACTAGAGATCGCGAAATTTGATTTTCCACATACTTGGCGAAATAAGTTCACGCGAATCGATAATTTATATCAAACCGTAGGTGTTAGAATTTAGAAAACGAGCTCCGAAACCTTCCCCGTATTTTATAAACAATTACCGTGATCCCCATCTTAAGCGTATAAAACTTGTAGGTAGTGAAGGGGAACCGCGAAAAAAACGATATCATAAATCACCGATCTTTTTACTTATGCTGCATTTCGCAAATCTTTTGTGCGAAGAGATATCTGGGGGGTTGTAGGCGGATACGTGCATGCTTTATACGGCTATGCGCTAATTTCGCTTCATCGAATTTCGGATAATAAACTATTTTTAAATCCGCGGCTGCAATTCATTTCCAGTTGCGGGTGGCACGCGATAACATAGATTTATACGCTTATTTTAAATCCTGTTTCTTAATTCCCTACAAATTGCTGTTGGCATTCATTTTTCTTCCGTTGGTTATAAGCTGCGAGTGTGGCATCACTAACTTTATCAGCGACTTTCGACCTGTTAAGCTAAGTCGAAAATAAAATAAAGGATAATGCTCTTCTTGTATCAGCAAAGTTGGGATTACCGAATAAACGAATTCAATTTTTGAACTCTACATCGTCAATCAACCGATTTGCCAGCGATGTGGCTGGTAAATTACCGTATCCTTTCTCTTGCGGTGTTAACAGTGGGACATCTTGTAGAGAGTATTTTTAAGTTTTCTAGTATACTTCTAGTATCTTTACAGAACGGCCTGGGCCCTTTTCACAGCAGCGGTTTCGATATTTTTACGACCTTCCCATCGGACATTAGTTGGTATTCCATTAAGTACTTACTTTATTTCATGAATTTGCAGTTAAGTGAAAACAAGTGGCAAAAAGACACTTTCATTTTTTTTTTCATTTTTGCATAGTGATTCTTAATTAATCATTATTGAAAAATGCCAAAGACAATCACGATTTACTGTCACTCAAAA